GTGCGCGTGTGTGTAGTGTTCCTGTGTGTTTGTGTATGTTTGTGGTATTTGTGTGTGTTTGTGCGTGTTGTATTTATGCATGTTTGTGTGTATATGTGTGATTGTTTGAGTGCATGTTCAATTGTGTTTTTGTGCCTGTTTGTTTGCTTGGTTGGTTGGTTGGTTTGTTTTTTGTAGATGTGTTTCTTTTGAATGTTTGTTTGTTTTGTTTGCTTTTGATTGGGGTGATATCAAAGAACCAACCAAACAAGAACATACAAAACAAACAAACACAAAGACAAAAAAAAATACAAAATAACAAACAAAAAACATGAAACGACAAAAACAGAAAGAAACAAAAACAGAAAGAAACACAAACTCAATGAAAAAACAGAAAAACAAGATAAAACAAACAAAAAACACATCCCAAACATTCAAAAACATCTCACAAACAGACAAAAAAATATCCCAGATTTACTATACTTCAACACACAAGCAGACGACGTTTTCACCTTTTGGCCAATAGATGGCACTATTTGTATCTCGGACACGGGACTGAAAACATGGTTGAATCATCTGTTGAGCAGAGTCGAGTGCTCAACCAACCAATCATTGAGCTCTGTTGAGCAGAGTCGAGTGCTTAACCAACCAATCATTAAGCTCTGTTGAGCAGAGTCGAGGAAAGAACTTAGACGAGTACCCGCAGCCATCTCTCGGTTTAGTCACATGATGGGGGCACGATCGAACAATCGAGGTAGGAGCGAGTACCAGTCTACAACAGAGATTTGTTTAATAGACAAGAGGGCAGGCGCTATCTCCCTTGACAACTAGAAGGCGTAGGTCGAAACAAGGTTTGTTTACCGTTTTTCTAACAGTATATAATATAATAACTGTGTAGTATATAAAATTTCGAGGTGCTTTTGCATGTAGAAAAACAAAACAAAGTTCATACCCAACGCATGTCTAAGTGTTGTCACATTTCTTACCCGAAAAATAGTAATTAGTATACTGTCGAATGTTATCATAACAAACTCGCGAAAATCCACCGGTGCGGTGGCATTTCAGACCAAAATGCACGAAATTGCAATACTACCGTGAGTTAGCACATGAGTGTTTCGCACCATATATTCCTTTATTTACTTGTAAAATAGAGAACTTGGCCATTGTTATTATATACTTATATATAGGCCTATAGTGCTATAATAATAACACGTGTTATTATTTGATAATCAATAAACAATATGCTTCATTGCTTGTATATTGGTGATAATTCGTAAACTTTATTCTTAAGAAGTGGTAAGAAGGTTGCCCGGTGTGGTACTGCCTAATTACAATTTAATCCTATGGGGAAAGGCAGTGACCTATAATAAATTCCTAATGAACTATGGTGAATCGGGGTGCCTGAGCCTGTTCAGATCGTGCGCACTCGCTCTACGCGTGCACTCGCTTAGATGCGCTGTTGTATAAAGTTGATAACTCAACGACGACCACTATCACGATTTTTACGATTTTGTATAACTGTCGAAGCATGACCCGCGACAAATCCAGCGCATGAACCATCACGCTGAGATCCTGTTCGGCAAGGACCACCTCTACGAACCGAACTTTGTCGCCCCCATGCAGCCACCTGCCGAAGCTGAAGAGGAGGAGCTACTTGGCGTAGAGTACGCTTACTCGCAGTCATCTAAGTCGGCTTTTTCATCAAAGGAGTACTACATAGATAAAGGTGAGAAATACTTTCACAGGACGTGTATGTGTAGAAATAATCAAAACATCCAAAACTGGAGTTAGTTATACACTACATCCGCATTGCTCCATGTCTAAAAGATTAATTACTCTTTACTACTTCTTCCTTGTATCTGTTTTTCCTACAGCTGAAGAGGAGGACTGAAATTAAGCAGAGGTAGATTCATACTTTAATTGTAATGTTTCACCATACTTAATTGTTTTTTTCTTTCTTTGATCTGTTTTTCCTATAGCTGAAGAGGAGCATGCAGCTGAAGAGGATGATAACGATGGCAACAATCATGAGGACGAAGGGATTGAAGATGCTGCAACAGATGATGCGGATGATTCTACAGTCTCTAGCCCCATGGATGCTGTGAGCACTCAGCACACCGTGTTGACAAAGGAGGAACAAGTACAAGAAGAGATGAGCCCTGTCATGCAGGACGTGTTAATGAGGAGCCGGCACTTACACTTGCCTGGGTTCGAGCAGGTTGAAGCCCTCGCTTTGCTGCTGGTAAAGCTGACTGAAGGGGAGCAGCATCTCATCCCATTAGGGCTCAGAGAGCAAATATCACACGCTGCAGGTGAGCTGGCAGAGCACGACAGATCTGCTCGAAACTTTGTCAAAAAGTATGAAAGTAAGTGGGGCTACACTTTATTTGAACGCTGCCTCGACCCAGAATCTCCACAGGCCAGTGCCGCCCAAAAGACTAAATTTGGGTGGATGAAGTTTGCACAGGCTACCCAAATCACTGAAGAGTCGAGGCTTTTGTACCTGGTCATCCAGGTACTTAAGAATCAGCCTACTGTTTCTTCCCGGTTTCCTACAAAGACTGCTACCAACATCAGGACAAGGTACAAGAGGATCTGGGATAGGCTTTATGACGACCCAGTCCTCTCCACTACACTCAATCTCCCCCTTCCAAACATCAATTCCAAATCCATCACAAATTTCATCAGCAAACAAGAGAAGTGTTCCAATTTACTCGCAACTACTCAGCCCAAAGATCTCCCACATCGAAAAGTCCTTTCTGTTGATACCATCCCAGATCCTGTCGAGCTCCCTGATATGTTGCCAAAGCCAGATTACAAGCAGGTAAAGTACAGCATCGTTCCTCAATGAGTCTGGCAAGCGGTCTCGAAGCGTGGAGAACGAGCGTTCCCCCCAGCTTGATGCCACCGGGGACGTTCTTTATCTGCAAAGCCGTACTATCAACCTACAGACACCTTTAAACAATGCTACAAACACCTAATTTCATACTGGATTGACTACGAACCTCAACTCAAAAATGCCAAAACCATTGCCGCAAGGTAGCAGGCATACCAGTCCTTGTTGTTTTGCGTCTTCACAACCACGCACGTTCCGTATCATTACCCTCAACAGAAGTGTACCCCTTGAGCAGATAAGGCCTGCCCTCAGCCGAAAGTAATTAAAGCCAACGACCCCGCGTATCCCCAGATTCCATCACAAAACCTTGTCGCTGCTTCCAAAGAGCCTAAATGTCGAGGGTTGAGGAAACGGTACACGCCATCCAAGCCAAAAGTACTTGGGAGCAAGCAAAAAATCTCCGGGTTTTGAGAAACAGTATGAAAGTTATGAAGATTTTAAACGGTCTGTGGATGAAGAGTTGGAGAGAAGGAGGAGTTTGTCTGAAAAATGAGTTGTTGAAGAGTTGGAGAGAAGGAGGAGTTTGTCTGAAAAATGAGTTGTTGAAGAGTTGGAGAGGAGTTTGTCTGAAAAATGAGTTGTTGACCTGTCGGTTTTTAGGCAGAAGGTCCCATGCTTTATTTAATATTGTTATCATGAATGGTGATTTTTATATCACCAAACATAATGCCAAATCTTGCATTTTTTTGTTCATTTTTAGGCTCAATACATTGTAATTGAGTTATATTATATCTTATTATATCTTAGATCTCATATCTTATATGAAGTAGCGTTTATTATGCATTATTTGTTAAAAGTCGTTGAACTTCATTTTTTGAAAGAAATATAATATCATCTTGTATTTCAGGGATATATTCCTTGAACTTCATTTCTATAGACATGATTATAAATATCATAATGTCACCTTGTGATCCAATCATTGCATTATTATGTGCTATATATTTCTAGATGAGCGATGTTTTTGCTCTTTATACTTTACTCATTACTTGTATATGAATTTAAATACCAAAAGACACAAGTAAAGACAGTTGAAACTAAATTTTATATGACTTTCTTTCCTTTACTTATAAGATTTATGTGATTTATGTGATATTTCCTTTATTTATGTGAAACCAACTATACAAAACAACGAACAAACACAGAAACAAACATACATAATAACAAAATGCAATAACATACAATAACATGCCAATAACAAACGTTTTTACCACAAGGAGCCAAAATTTACACGCAAGCCGAAATTTACGAGTTTTCCGCCGGGCGATGGCGCGCCGAGCGACGGCGGGCCGGGCGCGCGGGCTTTCGACGTCGCGCGATCACTAGTGATCGCGTTGAGCAAATGACCTTCACGGGGTCGTGGCCCATTCCCAGGCAGTCACCCATCCAAGTGCTAACCGGGCCCGACGCTGCTTGGCTTTGGTGATCGGACAAGAACCGGTGCTTTCAGCGTCGTATAGCCATGCTTTCGGCATGGTATGCTTCATCCCCGGTTCCCTGGTTGCGTTTCAACAATAACTTCCTGTGTGGCAGGCCAATGACGGTCGTGCATTCCCTTCTTGTGCGGCTTTACGTGATGTTCCTGGTAGGATTGTTCTTCGAGCACATGTTGGTTGATTTGAAGTTAACGGTACCCAGAGCAATCGAGTATTTTCCATCTTCCATTTACAATTTCCCAAGTTTCGTCTAGACACATCCACTTTCAGGCATAATCACGGGAGTTTTTCCTTCCATCCTTCCATTCTCGTTAGCTCATGCATGACGTCAAGCACCGAGTTTCTTCGTGTGCTTTGGTAGTCTTGCGGTCGTCCCGTACCCTCGTCTTGCGCGGGTCTTTATTGTAGCAACGCTAATATCACTCCGCGAAGGCATTTAATACCAGCTGACACATAGGCTGATATTACGATATAACCAGCAGCAGAACCACAGCACAAAGATACTCTTACACCACACCAGCTGGCAGGGAGACGGATTTATCTGCTGGACACACAAACAACTGGTAAAATTAGTTCCACACGCAATAGATACACACGGAGATGGCCGCAACTCTGCCTATAGTACGGGTCAACTTTCAACGAATAACAGCTTAGACACACACCTTAGCTGCATCACAACATTAGTTGGGCTTAGCGGTCGGCGAAGAACAAACATACACATTAGCACAACGTTGTTTTAAACAGCTACTAAACAGCTGTTCTACACTGACCACACACACACATTAGCGTCATCACTGGCTAGCGTGCGGGGTAGCTTGCCAAACATAATATCTTAGATACACACATAGAGGTCCGACACTGCCCGGGGTACGGTCAGATGTCGGCCAGTCAAAATACACACATTAGCCTAAAGTTATTTCTACACAGCTGTTAAATATTTAATTACAGTAAACGATCGGCTTCGAAAATTTCCGCCGCCGCGCATTGATTGTCTACTGTCCTCGCCAGAGCGATTTCTAAACTTGGACGCAAGCGCTTGTCCCTATGCATATCTGCTAGTTCTCATTAACCTGTAGGTGGCGGG